GTAAGGGATAATAATAACTGGAAATGTTACATTGACATATTACCTAACTTGTATGCTTGTCATAAATAAATATATCTCATAGGTCCAATATAATGACTTCTAAAATATAAATACAACATTCAGACTTCCTGCTCTGTCCCTGTTGTTCGTTAGGAGTGAAAAGGCTTATATTTAAATTTACTGAAGCCCATTGACTACAGGACTAATTATGAACAGTTTATGATATTACAATACGGTCCATTGATGTGACCTCTATGAAGGCAGTAAATGTGTCACCACCAATCGAGGCAGCAGACAAACACACAAGACTCAGGACATAATTTTTTTTACTTTTGGCACCAAAACAGCAGCAGTAGCGAAGTCTGATTTATCAGCACATGATGCACAGTTACCAAAAAATGCACAAAGACATCGTTTTGAGACTCACTGCCCATTAATAAGCAACCACCGTAGAATTGTACGTCCTGTAGCATCATTCGTATCAGAACCATCTTTATGTCAAAGACTTAACACGGCCTGTCCTCTGCAAAAAGCCCGGCATAATCAAGGAAATTCATATTTACACGTATCGACAGAGAAGGCTTGTTTCGGCAAGAAATGGAACTTAGTGGCGTCTGTCAAAAAACCAATAAAATGGGATCTAGAAAAACATGACTGGGTTGTAAAGGGCCATTTTCAGAGGTAGGCAAGCAAGAAGGAATTTTAGCCATGCTGAGCAAATAAAACTCAGAAATGAGGAAAATCATATTTCACATATAAAACGGGTAGCATGGGATAGTTCACACCTTCAAATGCTGTAATTCCACACAGTTTACACAGTTTAAATGTTTAACCTTTAAAATTATTTTTAAAGTAGATCAGCCAGTCTTGTGAACCAAGTATATATCACCAGCACACCGATGTAAAATCTTCAACGAGTGGTAAATTTTATTGAACACACATCTCGTTACAAAACAACATTTCGGGCCACTCAGGGTCCCTTCATCAGGCATGACTATTGACGGGACCCTGGTGTGCTGGTGTCCCAGGAATATAATTTTACTAATTGTATTTGAAGTGGTGCCATCCAATATCACTGCAGCACCCACCTTAAAAAGGGACATACCAGTAAGGAGAGCGGTGGGGACCTCTGAGTCTTGTGAACCAGGCAACCCAGTCAGACTATGAAGACCTCCTTTTTTTTTGCTGCAATTCTGCAATACAGCTCGGTCACTGATCCACCAAAGCCTGCTGGTTAGACAACGAAGGGTCATCAACACTGAGGAGCCATTAATCTGAAAACCTTGTTCTGTCCTGGTGGACTGGTGGTGCTTTAACCCTTCTCCAAATTTTTCAAATTTAAAACAACAATGAGTTCATATGTTGGTCAGCCACAGGAATCAAAGTGAAAAGCAACCAATCAAATGTTCTCTTTCAGATTCCAGTCTTTTCTTACATTACTAAAGCTTACACAGAAAACACATAGTAAAATTCTGCAGATAATAAACATAAAAAGGTACCTGTACTCACCCAAACAATTGTGTCCATCATGTGCCAGCATAAATCCATCATAACATGTGCACCTATAATTCCCCGGTATATTAATACATTCATGAACACATCCGCCATTGTAGTCATTGTCACATTCATCGATATCTGTAATGAAAAACAGAAAGCATAAACATAAAGGTCCCGTGGATATTCAGAACAGATCACAAACACAGGAATGGCAAAAGGTGACAGACAATTTTTGAATGTTAGCCGTAAAATCCATTTTTGGAGTACATCACGGGACACAGGGAAAAAAAATCTTCAATGGATGGGTTATGCAGCTACCCTCAGGTGACTGGACCCCAGTAAATCAATCAAAGCTGTAAGAACAGCCCTATATACCCCATATACGCCCACCCTGCTTCAGTTTGGTAGCAAGCAGTACAAGAGTGGATCACAGAAACATGAAGGGAGGTGTCTTGTGATGTACTCCACGAAGTGTATTTTACAGGTAAGAACAAAATCCTGTTTTCTTGACTGTACATCACAGGACACAGGTAGTTAAAAGATCAACGGATGGGACATCCAAATGCAGTCCAACACGGGGCAGGCAGTGCAGCAACAATTCCTCATTGGCCTGGGAAAACAGTTAACCCAACAGGAAACCATAACAGAAGGAGCCCACAATCAAAAGGCCATCTGAAGAACCCTGCAGCCAAAGCTAGCAACCTCAGAGGCCTGAACATTCACTTGGTAAAACTAGTTATTTGCCAGCCTTGCAAATTTAGGAAACCTAAGACGGTTGCTAGAAGGCCCATGAAGTACTAATGCTGATAGTAGAGTAAGGTCTAAAACAGAAAGTGGGGCTTTCCCCTTCACATCATATGCCTGAGTGATAGCTTGCTGAATCCACCTAGCGACAGTGGAACAAGAAGATGGCTGCCCTATCTATTGGGACACTCAGGATTGACGAAGAGGGAGTCAGGATTGCGGATGGAAGCTGTAGCAAAGAGGTAAACTCAAACAACCTGAACCGCATCCAAAACAGAGAGAAATGTATTTACAATGACTTGATGGAGGACATTGGTATCTATGAGAGGTTCAGAAGGCGGCTTCTGCCGCACTAACAGAACTAGGTTAAGGACCTGCCCCAGCCTGTGTGTGGGAAGTGAAAGGAGAAGCAGCACAGTGAGGAGCTAATTTTTCTGTTAGTCTGCTTCTTGTCAGCATATCAACTGACTGGCTACTTTTACTGCTTCTCCCTGTCCAGTCTGAGCTTTGCTATACAGAGACTGCAAGAGGAAAATACCAGGTCAAATGTAGGTACTTACACTGCTTGCACTTATAAAGTCTGAGTAAAATAAGAGCTGAGTTTGGGCAAAGACAGACATAGAGATCTCAGCGAAAGATGAGACAATTGACTGTCCTTTTCGGTCATCACATACATGGCTAGAATTTAATTCCTTTTCCTCCTTAATAAAAACAAAAGAGCACTTCTGCTTTCTCTGGAGCACTTCTGTCATTCTGCATGAATGTCAACTTAAAGTGAAGCCACCCTAACCTGATATTCTAGGTTTTGGTAGATGCTGGAGGGTAAAACCACTTGACAGTTTCGTATCTCTCTGCAAGTCTATAGCTGCCATTTGTATCTGTTCTGATTAAGTTGGGTTTTGTAAGGAAGGGAGGAGTTCTGAGTATTGACCATCTGCACAGTATAACAGATCAAGTGTAAATTCTGAACCTTTTCTAAAGCCTTATTCAGACAAAAAATATGCCACATTGTTTTTCTTGAGGTGTGTGCCCTTTGAAAATAGAGCACCTTACTATTGCAGAACCCACGAAGCATATTAATGAGGCTACGGACAGCTCACAGATCCACTACTGAATTCTGCAACTCGCAAACTGGAGCCATTTGCGAGTTTCCATTGAATGTGGAAAGATAATGCAAGTCAGAAATCATCTTAGCATGTAATGCCCCTGTCCATGGTACTGATAGAGGAGATGGTACTGTGCGACTATGTCCAACTTCACCACACTGGGCCATACACAGTGAAGTGTTTGAAAAAGAGGCAGCCAATCAAATTTTACCCTTCTGGTTTCTAAAGCAAGCTAAAAAGAAAAAGAAAATGATGAAACAAAAGCTGAAGTAGTTTACTAAGGTGAAGAACAGTTTGCCAATGACCATCAGATGTTTTTCCAAAGGCATGTACTGGTCTTTTACTTTGTACTCTGATTTTCTACAATGTTTTGCTCAGCATGTCTAAGAGATTGACTTTTTATGTACTTTAAAATTAACCTAGACCTAAATTTTAATACAGAGCTATACTGACAGGCTTGCTTGCATGAATAAACAACAAGCAACAGGCAGGATGGTCAGCCCCTTCAGCAGATATCATGTGATCGAAAGTCCAGGCTTCTGGTTATGTGACCTTAACTGGAGCACATTTTATGTATACTTTAATGTGTAGACTATGAAATGGAATCATGTACACAAACATCATCATTCTTAAATACTCTATGGGCAAAACTTTGTAGACACCTGACCATCACACCTATAAGAGTTGGTTGGACATCCAAACCCAAAACTATGGACAATAATATGGAGTTAGCCCCCTTTTTGACTAAAACAGCCTTCACTCTACTAGGAAGGCTTTTTACAGATATTGGAGTGTCCGTGGAAATGGGAGCCCATTCAGCCAAAAGAGCATACGAGAGGTCCAGTCCTGATGCTTGATGAGACCTGGCTCACAAGCAGTGTTCCAATTCATCCAAAAAGTATTCAGCTGGGTTGATGTCAGTGCTCTGTGCAGGCCACTCGAGTTCCTTCACACTAAAGTTTATGGACCTGGCTTTGTGTGCACAAGGGTACAGTTGTGATGGAACAGACAAGATCCTCCTCCAAACTGTGGCATACAATTGTATAAAATGTATTTGCAAACTAAAAAATTTTATTGAACACACATCTCGTTACAAAACAACATTTCGGGCCACTCAGGGTCCCTTCATCAGGCATGACTATTGACGGGACCCTGGTGTGCTGGTGTCCCAGGAATATAATTTTACTAATTGTATTTGAAGTGGTGCCATCCAATATCACTGCAGCACCCACCTTAAAAAGGGACATACCAGTAAGGAGAGCGGTGGGGACCTCTGAGTCTTGTGAACCAGGCAACCCAGTCAGACTATGAAGACCTCCTTTTTTTTTGCTGCAATTCTGCAATACAGCTCGGTCACTGATCCACCAAAGCCTGCTGGTTAGACAACGAAGGGTCATCAACACTGAGGAGCCATTAATCTGAAAACCTTGTTCTGTCCTGGTGGACTGGTGGTGCTTTAACCCTTCTCCAAATTTTTCAAATTTAAAACAACAATGAGTTCATATGTTGGTCAGCCACAGGAATCAAAGTGAAAAGCAACCAATCAAATGTTCTCTTTCAGATTCCAGTCTTTTCTTACATTACTAAAGCTTACACAGAAAACACATAGTAAAATTCTGCAGATAATAAACATAAAAAGGTACCTGTACTCACCCAAACAATTGTGTCCATCATGTGCCAGCATAAATCCATCATAACATGTGCACCTATAATTCCCCGGTATATTAATACATTCATGAACACATCCGCCATTGTAGTCATTGTCACATTCATCGATATCTGTAATGAAAAACAGAAAGCATAAACATAAAGGTCCCGTGGATATTCAGAACAGATCACAAACACAGGAATGGCAAAAGGTGACAGACAATTTTTGAATGTTAGCCGTAAAATCCATTTTTGGAGTACATCACGGGACACAGGGAAAAAAAATCTTCAATGGATGGGTTATGCAGCTACCCTCAGGTGACTGGACCCCAGTAAATCAATCAAAGCTGTAAGAACAGCCCTATATACCCCATATACGCCCACCCTGCTTCAGTTTGGTAGCAAGCAGTACAAGAGTGGATCACAGAAACATGAAGGGAGGTGTCTTGTGATGTACTCCACGAAGTGTATTTTACAGGTAAGAACAAAATCCTGTTTTCTTGACTGTACATCACAGGACACAGGTAGTTAAAAGATCAACGGATGGGACATCCAAATGCAGTCCAACACGGGGCAGGCAGTGCAGCAACAATTCCTCATTGGCCTGGGAAAACAGTTAACCCAACAGGAAACCATAACAGAAGGAGCCCACAATCAAAAGGCCATCTGAAGAACCCTGCAGCCAAAGCTAGCAACCTCAGAGGCCTGAACATTCACTTGGTAAAACTAGTTATTTGCCAGCCTTGCAAATTTAGGAAACCTAAGACGGTTGCTAGAAGGCCCATGAAGTACTAATGCTGATAGTAGAGTAAGGTCTAAAACAGAAAGTGGGGCTTTCCCCTTCACATCATATGCCTGAGTGATAGCTTGCTGAATCCACCTAGCGACAGTGGAACAAGAAGATGGCTGCCCTATCTATTGGGACACTCAGGATTGACGAAGAGGGAGTCAGGATTGCGGATGGAAGCTGTAGCAAAGAGGTAAACTCAAACAACCTGAACCGCATCCAAAACAGAGAGAAATGTATTTACAATGACTTGATGGAGGACATTGGTATCTATGAGAGGTTCAGAAGGCGGCTTCTGCCGCACTAACAGAACTAGGTTAAGGACCTGCCCCAGCCTGTGTGTGGGAAGTGAAAGGAGAAGCAGCACAGTGAGGAGCTAATTTTTCTGTTAGTCTGCTTCTTGTCAGCATATCAACTGACTGGCTACTTTTACTGCTTCTCCCTGTCCAGTCTGAGCTTTGCTATACAGAGACTGCAAGAGGAAAATACCAGGTCAAATGTAGGTACTTACACTGCTTGCACTTATAAAGTCTGAGTAAAATAAGAGCTGAGTTTGGGCAAAGACAGACATAGAGATCTCAGCGAAAGATGAGACAATTGACTGTCCTTTTCGGTCATCACATACATGGCTAGAATTTAATTCCTTTTCCTCCTTAATAAAAACAAAAGAGCACTTCTGCTTTCTCTGGAGCACTTCTGTCATTCTGCATGAATGTCAACTTAAAGTGAAGCCACCCTAACCTGATATTCTAGGTTTTGGTAGATGCTGGAGGGTAAAACCACTTGACAGTTTCGTATCTCTCTGCAAGTCTATAGCTGCCATTTGTATCTGTTCTGATTAAGTTGGGTTTTGTAAGGAAGGGAGGAGTTCTGAGTATTGACCATCTGCACAGTATAACAGATCAAGTGTAAATTCTGAACCTTTTCTAAAGCCTTATTCAGACAAAAAATATGCCACATTGTTTTTCTTGAGGTGTGTGCCCTTTGAAAATAGAGCACCTTACTATTGCAGAACCCACGAAGCATATTAATGAGGCTACGGACAGCTCACAGATCCACTACTGAATTCTGCAACTCGCAAACTGGAGCCATTTGCGAGTTTCCATTGAATGTGGAAAGATAATGCAAGTCAGAAATCATCTTAGCATGTAATGCCCCTGTCCATGGTACTGATAGAGGAGATGGTACTGTGCGACTATGTCCAACTTCACCACACTGGGCCATACACAGTGAAGTGTTTGAAAAAGAGGCAGCCAATCAAATTTTACCCTTCTGGTTTCTAAAGCAAGCTAAAAAGAAAAAGAAAATGATGAAACAAAAGCTGAAGTAGTTTACTAAGGTGAAGAACAGTTTGCCAATGACCATCAGATGTTTTTCCAAAGGCATGTACTGGTCTTTTACTTTGTACTCTGATTTTCTACAATGTTTTGCTCAGCATGTCTAAGAGATTGACTTTTTATGTACTTTAAAATTAACCTAGACCTAAATTTTAATACAGAGCTATACTGACAGGCTTGCTTGCATGAATAAACAACAAGCAACAGGCAGGATGGTCAGCCCCTTCAGCAGATATCATGTGATCGAAAGTCCAGGCTTCTGGTTATGTGACCTTAACTGGAGCACATTTTATGTATACTTTAATGTGTAGACTATGAAATGGAATCATGTACACAAACATCATCATTCTTAAATACTCTATGGGCAAAACTTTGTAGACACCTGACCATCACACCTATAAGAGTTGGTTGGACATCCAAACCCAAAACTATGGACAATAATATGGAGTTAGCCCCCTTTTTGACTAAAACAGCCTTCACTCTACTAGGAAGGCTTTTTACAGATATTGGAGTGTCCGTGGAAATGGGAGCCCATTCAGCCAAAAGAGCATACGAGAGGTCCAGTCCTGATGCTTGATGAGACCTGGCTCACAAGCAGTGTTCCAATTCATCCAAAAAGTATTCAGCTGGGTTGATGTCAGTGCTCTGTGCAGGCCACTCGAGTTCCTTCACACTAAAGTTTATGGACCTGGCTTTGTGTGCACAAGGGTACAGTTGTGATGGAACAGACAAGATCCTCCTCCAAACTGTGGCATACAATTGTATAAAATGTATTTGCAAACTAAAGAAGCAACAATATCCTTCACTGGAAACTAGGGATGCACCGATACCTGTATTCCGGTACGGAGTACGAGTACCGATATTTTTTTTTCCAGTACTCGCCTATACTGAGTACCGGATGTCCCATTCAGGAACCAGACGGTGTGTAATGACTCGCCACCAGGCTTCCTGATTAGCCGGGAAGTCGGGCAGCATGTAAAGACTTGCCACCCGGTTTCCCGATTAGCAAGGAAGCCGTCTCCATGCTTCTCGTCACTTTATGACAAGAAAGCATGGAGCAGGCTTACTAGCCAATCATGGAAGCCGGGCTCCATGTAATGACGCGGTGCCCGGCTTCCTGATTGGCCGGGAAGCCGGCTCCATGCTCTCTCGTCATGAGGTGACATGGGAGCATAAAGCCGGCTTCCTGGCCAATCAGGAAGCCGGGCACCGCGTCATTACACCGTGCCCAGCTTTCTGATTGGCCAGCTTCCCAACCAATCAGGAAGCCGGGCAGCGTGCCATCCTGATTGGCCGGGAAGCCGGCTACATGCTCTCTGGTCACAAGTGACGAGGGAGCATGGAACCGGCTTCCTGATACAGAAAGTATCAGGCTAGGCATCAGAGTATTTGGGTGAGTAAGAGTACTCGCCCAAATACTCGGTATCGGCACCGATACTAGTATCAGTATCGGTGCATCCCTACTGGAAACACTTGAACTCAGTTTGGAGGGATATCCACATACTTTTGGTGATATAGTAGGTTTGATGGTCAGGAGTCAACAAACATTCAGAAATATAGTGTAGAATTACCATGTGTATGTACATAAATACCACAAATATATACATAGCCAAAGACATCCCTCAAATTTATTGTGGGAAGGTGTTTGTAATTTGTAGCATTAACAACACCCTTCACTGCAAAGACAGTTTAGGAAACAGTTTGAAGAAGGTCCTTTACTGTTCCAGCATGACTGTGCACCAAGCCAGCTTCATAACGACATTTATGCCTTTATTGCCTTTAGTATCGAGGAACTCAAGTGGCCTGCACAGAGCCCTGACTTCAACCCTACTGAAGACCTTTGGGATGAATACATACAAAGACATTAAGACAACTTTGAACCTCATGTTAAGTTTGGGAAGGCCCTTTTCTGTTCCATCATGACTGGACGTCAAGCCAGCTCCATAAAGACATGGTTTCATGAGTTTGGTGTTGAGGAACTCAAGTGGCCTGCACAGAGTCCTGACCTCAACTCTACTAAAGGCCTTTGGGATGAACTGGAATGCCGACTGCAAGCCAAGACAGGCTTTAAAAAAGGTCAAAATATTCCAGTGATAAGGCTGAACCCTCTATGGTTGTTTTTGGATACGCTTAGTGAAAAGTTACAAATGCAATATATTTTATCTAATTTATTTATCATCTAAAATAAGAACAACTTGCAGTAAAAGACAGTGATAACTTGTAAGGCATGCACATTCAGTGCTAGTTCAGAAGTTTGTTTTTCTAACACTGTGAATGAACTAGAAAATTCCTTGTTCTGTGCCAACCATCCCTGGCACTGCACAGCTACTCATAAAACTTATTTTACCGAGTGTAACCCAAAAAAAAAAAGTGTTAATCTGTTTTCATAAAAATAAAGAATTTGTGGCTGCTGGTATAGCTGAATATGGTGCCTCTCTGTCAACGCCATGAGAAAAAAAGACCAAACAGCACATTATAACACATTAAGTAAACCTTACGAAACAGCACCATTTGGTAAGGTTTACTTTCTACAGAATTTGGCTTATCTGAGATGATCTGTGAAGGATACTGATTTATTAAATTTGTGACATGTTTTAAAAAATGCAAGATGCCTATCCCAATACCGGAACTTCCAGTATCAAGAAGCCAGATGGCGACTAATTGCACGCTGCCCGGCTTCCCGATTGGCCGGGAAGCTGGCTCCATGCCTCCTCGTCACCACAGAGCATGGATCTTGTTTCCCGGCCTATCAGGAAGTCTGGGGGGCGGTAATGATTCGCGTCACCTGCGCTCTGATTAGTCGGGAAACTGGCCAATCAGGAAGTCATTACCCACCCCCAGACTTCCTGATTGACCAGAAAGCCGGCTCTATGCTTCCTCATTACCTGGTATCGAGGGAGCATGGAGACGGCTTCTCGGCTATCACACACCGCCCAGCTTCCCAGCTAATCAGGAAGCCAGGTGGCGAGTCATTACACGCCACCCGGCTTCCTTAATGGGACTTTCAG